GGTCGATTCGACCAGAAGACGACGGCGGATTCCTCTTGACCAGCTGTCGATTGGCTTTACTGGAACATTCTTGCTGACGCAATCTCCTTCGATTCCGGTGAAAAGGTGCTAAGCTTTCGTCCGTCACATGACGAACATCATCGGAGCAAGGTATCATCGTCACAACCAAATTCAAACTAACGAGTCAAGAAAACTCACCGGCAAATCCCTTAAAAGTGGTATATATACTCTATATCTGGCCTCTTTGATCGAGTATAAGATGATTTGGTTAGTTAAGGTCATATGTCAAATTCTATGCGTGTGAGTGTGTCTGTCTCTGTATTTGTGTTCGCTTATGCACGAAACTCGAAGTGATGGCTCAAATTAATGAGGACAGCAAAAAGGAACGTCCGTTTTTGGCCATCGAGGTTTGATGACCCCTATCTCCTCCTTTCTACCTTTACGTTATAACCATCACTCCGATTGCCCAAGGTTGGACACGCCTGGTCTTGTTGATGACCCTATTTTTGCTTTTTGGTCTCAATACGAGAGAGAAACGGTGAGCTAAAAAAAAGACACAGAATTAATGATCATTAGAACCAAAATAAGAAAAGACTAGTTGCGTCGCCTCCTTTTTGCAGGCGGCTCAACTCCCTTGATTCCTTGAGTCTGTTAATTAATCAGAAAATGTTTTTATTTATCGTCCTTACACTCAATGCACTTCGTATTCGGTTTATTTCGATGGCTTTTCTAATTTTACGTTTAGCCGCAGACATGCCAGAGTCAGCAAAACGACAAGTTTGAGACCATTCAATCTCGTGTCCACTTCCAGTTTCATCTTCCAGTAAGGCCAATCGACAGCTGGTCAAGAGGAATCCGCCGTCTTCTTCTGGTGGCACCGACCTTTGAATCTCTTCACCCAACTCTTCCACTCGAAATGAAAGTAAGTTCAACAAACTTTCTTTTCTTTTAAAGTTTTGAAGACCAAGATGTTGTGACCTGTGGTTTGGTCGCAGTCTCCTTTCGATTTATAAAAATGGGTTGACCTCGTTTTCGCAACTTGGTCTTGTTGTCAGGGCGACTATGTAGAACGCACCTAGTCCGAAGTCGTCTGCCGTAGTCGTTGTCGGCATCTGACGACTTCGGACTAGGTGCGTTCTACATAGTCGCCCTGACAACAAGACTAAGTTGCGAAAACGAGGTCAACCCATTTCTTTTCTTTTATCTTGACTCGTTAGCTTGAATTCGGTTGTGACGATGTTGCCTCGCTCTGATGATGTCCGTCATATGACGGACGAAAGCTTAGCACCTTCTCACCGGAATCGAAGGAATCGCTGTTGCCTCGGAAACAGCGTCAACATGAATGTTCCAGTAAAGCCAATCGACAGCGGGTCAAGAGGAATCCGCCGTCGTCTTCTGGTGGAAACGAGCTTCGAATCTCTTCACGCAACACTTCCACTCGAAATGGAAGTAAGCTCAACAATTATAAACGGAATAGGTCATACGCACTATTTATTGGTTATGCCGATTTTGAGCCTGCGGCACTCTTTTATGCTCTCGTTTGGGACGAACTCTTCGACGAATTCAAGAGCAGGCCATGATTGATACCAATTTATATAGTGCCAAACACTTGTGCATGCGAGTGTGTGTGTCTGCATGCGGCAAATTTGTATGTGAAGTCTACATCCTTGAGAATCCATAACAGTGGATGTAGTGCATAAGTTGATTTGGCTTTCGAACAATCTCATGCATTACCTCCATTTCGAGTGTTTGTTGACGATGTTCTACGTTTGATAAAACCAGAAGACGACGGCAAATTCCTCTTAATCAGATGTCGATTGGCTTTACTGGAACATTCTTGCAGACGCTGTTTCAGGATCAATCTCGTTCGATTCGGGTGGAAAAGTGCTAAGCTCTCGTCCTTCGTATGACAAGCATCGTCATAGCAGGGAGTCTTTTATACTTACAATTATATTCAAACTAACGAGTCAAGAAAGCTCTATATCTGACCTCTTTGATGAGGTATAAAGTGATTTGGTTATTTCCAGTCACATGTCAACCTTGAAACATGTGACTGTGTCTGTCTCAGTATGTGCATGTGACTGCGTGTGTTAGAGTGTAAACGAAGCCAGCAGTGATGGTTCAAGGTAATTAGAGCAGAAAAAATAACGTATCTTCTCGTTGTCTGGTTACGTCGAAGCATTTTATGTCTTCATATAATAGAGTGGAATACAAGGTACCAAAAATTAACTTAGATTAAAACTAGGACAGAAAAATAAATGACTAGTTGTGTCGCCTCCTGTTTGCAGGCGGCTCAGCATATTTGCTATCCTTGAGTTGATTAATTGAGTAAGAAGAGTTTTTATTTAACTTCTTGCCGGTATTCCTTACATTTACTGTATTTCCTATTCGGTCTATTTCAATGGATTATCTAATTTTACGGTTACCCTGAAAACTATTTTTGTTTTCACCTGACATGCAAGTTCGCCTATCATTTTAGAGAGAATTCCGTAAGGCAAAGTCAAAAGATGGGAAAGCTTCCCTCGCCCCTTCTTACATGTTCACCGTTGAAAAGCCTATTCTTTACTAATCTGATGTTATTATCAATCACCCCTTGAGGATAATTATTCTCTCATTATTACAATGGTCTCTATCGGCTAGTCTTATGCTCCGGATAATCATAGATTCTAAAATGCAAACCTTTGTTTTGTAACTAGGGTTGGAGTAGAAATTAAGCATAATTCCAGCATACATTGGCTTACTATATACATCCATGCTTAACTGCCCACCTAATCAGATCACTAAGACATCTAAAAAGGGTATATTATTGTTTATCTCCATCTTCATTATCAACTTAACATTTCAATCAATCTGGTTAATTAAAAGCGAGAAATTATCTAAACTATCCTTGCCATGCTGCCATATGGCAGCATCTAACCAACAGCTTGGGTGTCAATCTTACCTCTTCCATGAAGTGTTCCTTCATTCTCGACATGTAATTATTAGCTAAAATGGAAACCAAGCAAGATTCCATTGCTACAACTTGCACCTGTCCATAAACCTTATAATTAAAGGTAAAGTATGTGCTACTCATGAATAAATTGAGAAATATGAGCTGTATTCACCCTATTTGTCTAAGGTGAG